CTTTATTTCGGTTGGACAGAGACAGAATTGAAAGTTGTTGTTGTTGTTGTTGGACCGATAGAATCGTACCAACGGGAATATCAACTCTTAGTCAAACATTAATGATGATGATCAATTTTCAATTGTTTGAAAAGTTTTTAAAGAATCGATCGGACTGAGAACAAAAATTTGAGGGAAAAAAAATCCCGGTAAACATGTTCAATCGCCCACACACACACACACACATTGTTCATGGATGAAAAGTTTTTCCGGTGTTTTTTCTTCTTCTTCTTCATTCTTTGTTTGATTCTATCAAACAAGGAATCACCAGGAAAAAAAATTCCCATATATATTCTAAGAATTGTTAAATTAAAAATTTGAAACCTTGTTGTTGTAGAAAAAAACCCAAAGAAAAGAAAAGAAATTGATTTTTCGTTATTGAAAAAATATTATTATTAAAAATAATCCAAAAATAACGTTTTTGTCCACATCAAAAAAAGAAAAAGCGAAATTTCCTGTATTATCGCGGTAGAAAAGAAAACTAACTTTTGGAAATTACAAATTCAATTTCAATGTGATATTTAAATAATTTTTTTTTCTCATTTCACTACTGATTAAAGATTAGTTGATGATGTTCATTCATTTTCTATCATTTTTTTTTCATTGGAAAATCAGGAATTGAGGAGAAAAAAAATTTTGTTTTTTTTAGGACGATGACGACGATGATGGATATCATATTACCGTGGAATATTTTTCTTGATTTTTGAAAATACCCACCAACAAAAAAAAACTGAATATACATCATCACATGTAATATTCCCATCCATATTCTGTTTATAGAGCAAAATAGAAAAAAAACCCAAAAATAATAACATTTTTTTTTTTCGTTGGTAAATGAAATGTTTTTTTTTCGATTCGAACGCTCCAAACACACACAAAAAAAATTGTAATGACGTCATTTAAGGCAACCAAAAAAACGAATAAAGATAATCTATTTTGGATCTAATATAATTTTAGATGATTTTTTTCATTCTCTGTTACAGTATAGCAGAAATTGTCCAAATTTATCATCCAAACAGACATTTTTTTCTTTCTTTTTCTCTCCCGACCATATCATTCATTTATTTCGTCATTCAAAACATTCAATCAATGTATGTGAATTCTCCGTTTGTTTGTTTCAGAATCCAGAATAATAATAATTCTTATTGAAAATGAATTCATTCAATCATATTTGAACACCACCACTAAATGTCATTCCTTCTTTTTTTCCCCTATCTTTTTTTACACATTCCACATTCAAATATGATGATGATGATGAATTAAATCAGGTTCAAACCAAACGAAAAAAAAATTCCTTTCATTCACATTTGCAACATTGATTAATTGATTTTCTTTCTTTTTTTTGTGTTCTTTTTATTGCAAACAGATTTCCATATAATCAAAATATTGAATGAAAAAAATGTCCAAAACATATTCAACAACAACCATATTATTATATGATATATCAACCGATCCAAATCATGTCCATAATAATAATGCTGATAATGTATAATATTTTGATAACGAATTATTTTAATCATGATTATAATCATCATCATCCTTTGATACAAATATAAATAAGGCTATGTAACAGAAAAAAAATCAAAATTATAATCAATCAATCAAAATAGAAAAAGCAAATCAAAAATACAAATGAATAATACTAGAGTTGTTTTCCTATTTATCACTTCTGTCATATCATTGGTCTTATTTGTAGTCCTCGTTATGCAGGGTAAACATTGTTTTTACTTTGATTTGATTTGAATATTTGATTGAATTTGTTTTGTTTTGTTTTGTCAATTTAGGTGCACCATGGAATAATATACAAATATTTATACTATCAGTAATAATAATAATATTGATTGCCAGTTTAGTTGGTTTTATATTTGCCGCTATACGTAATTATTGTTGGACAACAAATATATCATATGGTAATCCAACACCAACAACATTATATACAAATCCACCACCAATTGGTTCAGCTGAAGCAGAATTTCAAAATGAATATATACCAGTATTTCCAATGAGACAATTACAGCCACGTGTTGATCTTGATAAGCCTTATTAAATTTGAAATAATCAAATGATGATGATGATCATGTGTTGAAATAAATGACCAAAAAAGAAAAGATTAAAAGACAATCGAATGTTTATGATTAGCCAAAAATTATTGATCACATCATCATCAATACGCACATACATTATTTAAATTTTCAAAAAAAAACTATTTCTTTTGCTGTTTTGAATTTAGTATCACCATTTTAAATTATAATTTTGTCAATAAAAATTGAATAAATAAATATTAAAAAAAGAAACGTTAACGTTAACAGAGAGTTAATACAAAGAGTTATTTGTTCATTTATAATAATTTCAATTTTTGGGCCCTTTTGGAAATTGAATTTGATTATAATCAATCGATTAATTATCATTATTATTGATTATTGAAGAATCATTTTTTAATGATTTTACTTTATGTATTAATACTGATTGTATTAAACGATCGGTAGTTATCATTTTAACACCAATTTCTTGAAATTTGGATGGATGAAATGGTTTTACACCACGACTTGCATCAACTAAAACAAATGTTTCTTGTCTTGGACAAAAATTTTTTGCATCATGACATGTTTCTCGTACACAATAATCAGTTGCCAAACCACAAACGAAAATTTGATCAATTTTTTCATTTTTAATCACTTCGTGTAATGTTTGTGTTGATTCAACTATTTGTCCACGAAATGCTGAAAAACATTCTTCATCACGTTTCATACCTTTTTGTATGGATAATTTTTTAACATTTGCATTAAATTTTCCGGGATCGGTAATAAGTCCATCAACATATTGTGCACCCCATGTATTTTCAATACAATGTTCAGGCCATTTATGTGTAATAGGTGTTTTCGGTTGAACTGAACTTGAATGAAATGAACAATGATCAATTGGATGCCAATCACGACTATAAACAACTAAATCAAATTCAACATATTTTAATAAACGATTAATAGCCGGTATAACTTCGGCAGCATCTTCACCATTAAAAAAATGATTCAATGCCATTGAACCTTCAACAAAATCATTTTGTACATCAACAATAATCAATGCCCAACGTCGTACAGTTTGTTTAGCTTGATGACCATTTGTTATGTTTGGTTTATCCAATATAGGTGATATTGAATCAATATCTTCAAGATAATCGGATAATTTAAATTCTGATGGTTGATAACATTCATTATCATTACCATTTTGTCTGATAAAAACAATGATTAAACAACATAGAATCGATTAACTTTTTCAAGCAAATTACTTACGATTGATCATTGGATTTTTCCATTGTTTTTTCTCCTTTCGATCAAATACTGCTGCTCAATGATGGTTTAAGATCAAAAATAGATTTTTGATAAACCCAATCAATCAAAAAAACAAATTCTTTTAAAAGTGGATTCATGGCTTTATAAAGATTTTTTTTTAATGCAATAGAACACTCATGTGATGCTGCAACAATATTATTCTGCAGCTGCGTGTTTTGAACTTTGAATTTTCGAATACATTATTCTGCCATCTGGTGATGAATTCAAAAAAAAAATGATTTTAAAAATATTTTTTTATCAAAAATCAAAAATTTTTTTTTCGAATAAGCAAAATTATTTATCAATCTTGATGATGATTGAAAAAAAACTTGCTTTCATTTGCAAAAAACAAACAAACAAACCATTACCATAATCATTCGATTCACTAAACGAAAAGAAAAGTTTATTTCGAAGTTCATCCGAAGACGACAAAACATGAATTTATTTTGAATTTAAAGATTTTTTCCTGGCAATTTGAAAATTGGAATTTTGAACCAGAAAAAATGAAGATGCTCTCATTTGACAGAGGAAAATTCCTTGTTTTGATCACCATCATATTGATATGGACGGCTAGTGGTTCGTTTGGTCGCCGACAACAATCATCATCACCACCAATGAATTTAACACCGATAATATTGGGCAAGTAAGATTAAATGTTCAAGTTTTTTCACAATGATGATTTTCAAAAACAAAAAAAAAATCCAGTTCCAGGCGATGGTGGTAGTCAATTGGAAGCTAAATTAAATAAATCAAATGTACCACATTATTTTTGTGATCGTCAAACAATGGATTATTTTAGTGTATGGTTAAATTTAGAATTGCTAGTACCATTCATTATTGATTGTTGGGTTGATAATATGAAATTAATTTATAATAATCAAACACGTACAACACATGATAATGATGGTGTACATATACGTGTACCTGGTTTTGGTAATACAACCACTGTTGAATATGTTGATCCAAGTCGTTTACCAATATCTGGTTATTTTGGTCAAATGGTTGAACATTTAGTTATGGAATTTGGTTATGAACGTGGCCAAAATATTCGTGGTGCACCATATGATTTTCGTAAAGCACCAAGTTTGTATTTTCGTTTTTTTCCGCATTCAATAAATCAATTTGTAATTTTTATTTTTTTTTTTTTCAATCTATAGATGAACTTCAAGATTATTTAAAATCAGTAAAAAAATTAATCGAACAAACATATCAACAAAATGATGAACGTCGTGTTATGATTGTTTGTCATTCAATGGGTTGTTTAGTTATGCTGAAATTCCTGAATGATCAATCACAAAAATGGAAAGATCATTATGTACAATCATTCGTTACATTAGGTGGACCATGGGGTGGTTCAGTAAAATCAATAAAAGCATTTATATCGGGTGATAATTTTGGTGTTATTGTTGCACCATCATTAACCATACGTGATGATGAACGTACATTTCCAAGTTTAGCATATCTGTTACCGAATGATAATGTTTTTCAAACAGATCGTATTCTGGTTGAAACTAAACAAAAAGGAAATTATTCCATTAGAAATTATCAAAAATTATTTCGTGATATTAATTATAATGTTGGTTATAATATGTGGATTGATGTTAAAAATATTACCTATGATTTAATTGCACCAGGTGTTGAAGTTTATTGTATTCATGGTATTGGTCATGATACAATTAATAAATTGATTTATGAAAAAAATCAATTTCCCGATCAACAACCTGACCGAATTGAATATGGTAATGGTGATGGAACGGTGAATGAAGAAAGTTTAAGTGCCTGTAAACGTTGGCGCCAACAGCAAAAACAACCCGTACATTATCTACCAATTCATGATATGGATCATATGCGTTTGTTAAGTGATCAAAAAATTCTAGCAAATTTCCATAAAGCATTCAAATCATCTCCGATTCATAAAAAATCAACACGAAAACCATGAGTGATTTTCAAGAATCCTGATTCTTTCGTTATTTATTTATTCAATTTTTCAATTATTAAAAATATGTGTGGAAAATTCAAGACAAATTTTAATTGTTCTAATTTTTTTTTTAAATTGTCAAAAGACAAACAGCCAATGTAATTGATGATCTAATTTTTTTTAAATAATTTAAAATTTCAACAAACAAACGGAAAAACAATGTACTATTAACCTACTAATAATAATAATAATAAAAACCGATGACCAAAACACACACATAATGTGTGTGTTTTTGTTTTGTTTTTACAAAAAAATTTCTCTAATGTTTAAAAGACCTTGGCACGATAAAACAAAAATATTAAGCTAATTTTATGGTTGTTTTTGTCATCACCATCGTCGTCGTTGTTTGTCGTCGTAAGAACATCCTTCGATCCAGAAAAACAAAATTTAAAGTTTTTTTTTTGGATTACTTCGAATTTTTGATATAAAAAGACCGAAATTATGTTCATTTCAAGATATCAACAATCGAAAACAAATCATCAGACGAAATTGATCGAAAAATCAAACTGCCAAAAACAAAAATGAAATTTCTAATCGTAATTTCGTTGATGGCCATTATCGGTACCATTATGGCCGAACCAGTTGATGAAAAACCGAAATTGAATATGCAACAAGTTGAACAATTATTGGAACAAATTGAAAAAGATGAACAACGATTATCACCGAAACCAAATGCTGCCAAAAATGATGAAACTGTTACAGTTGCATTGCAACAATTGTTCACACAATTTCGTCAGGTAATTTTTGATTTCAAAAAACTATTTTCTAATTTTTACCCAAAATCAATAGCTTACCGGTGCTTATGTTGATGTATTAAATGCTGTTAACAAACAATTGGGTCTACCTAAATATCCTAAATTACCTGGTATAGCACAACGTACTGGTCGTGGTATTCGTGATACAGCACCATTCAAACAATTGATTGAAAATGTTGAACAATTAGGTACAACTATATCAGAAGTTGGTGAATTAGTTACACGTACTGTATCGACAATTGGTGATGATTCACGTAAAACTGTCCTAAGACAATTTCAACAATTTGCTGATTTATGGTCAAATCAATTGAATGAAATTTCCCGAATGTTTGAACCATCAGTTATGATGACATTTAACGAATTACAAGGACGTGAAGAATCAAATTTTATTGATGAAATACAACGTCAAGTACAACAATTAGCTAGAGATATTCAACGTTATGTTGATAGTTTTGTTGCTGATATTCGTAATCGTGTTTCCGGTGTGCGTAATCAAATTTTCCCAAACGGTGAACGTAGACCAACCACAATCAATCAACAACAATAATAATAACCAAACATACAAAAAAACCAACAACATTTAAATTATTAATTTATAAATTTCAATTTCAAGGCCCCACATTAATAATAATTTACCTTGGATAAATTAATCATCATCATTATTATATAATCAGAGCAACAACAACAACATAAAAAATTAATAGATTCTTCGTTTATTAATACAGAAATTATTTGTAAAAAAAAAAAATACAAACAAACAGAAAAAAACCGATTAAAATTAAATGAATTGAATAAATTATTTATAAATTATAAATTATTATGCTAATAATGATGATTATTGTCATTGAAATTTTATTAGATGACATTTGTAATGATAATGATGATGACCGTGATGATTGACGTGAATAATATGGAATTCTAGATGAACGTTGATAAACACGAATTGAATCGATTATAAATCGATTATTATACCATTGTTTTGAATCATTTTGTTGTATAGCACCAGAACGTTGATCAGAAAATTCTGGTCCACCAACACCAAGCTGTAATATTAGATTGAATTGTTGATCAAATGGTTTCGTTACATTATGTTCGAAAAAAACAAAATCATTAAACATCCAACGAATAGAATGTTCGGACCATTCAACTACATAATTATTAAATGAACGTGTTATATTACGTTGTGTATAAAGTTTTCTTCCCATATATGATTGTCCAGCAGGCATTTTATAATGAATACCTGCAATAATAGCTGATTGTTGTTGTGCATAAACAAGACCATTAATTTGACCATTATTAAGCCAATCACCTGAATATTTTGGTTCAACTGGTCTCAATATAAATACCGAACGTAGTGATCGACCTTCAGGTAATATTGCTTTCAATACAAAACGGCCATAAAGCCAACTTTTTTTCGAAGAAATCATACCGCTATCGAATAGGAAACGTTCACGACTATAACCAGTTTTACGAATATGTTCATTAATATTGGCCACAATTTCTAGATGACCTTTTTTATTTACGCGAACATTTTCTTTACGATGGCAACTATATTGATAAATGTTCATACCTTTTTTGTTTCGTATTAATGAATGAAAATTCAAGACAAAAGATTATTCATTGCAAACATACCCATACAAAGATTTTCCGGTTCATCATCAACTAGCCAATCTTGATTATAATACCAAAATTTTTTCGGATTATCAACATTATTGATAAAATTATTAAAATTAAAATCATCAACCAATATCCATTGATCATTATTATTTTTATTTGAAATTTTTTTCTCCACAATTTCACATCCGATGAATGATGATGATGATGATATGTACAATATGATGATGATAATCAGCATTGATTTATTTGAACAAAATCCATTGATGAGATCTATGATGAAAATCATTGTCGAGATGACCATTATGTTTGTGTGTGTGTGTAAGTTATATGTGGATTAAACCAAAAAATTTTTCATCAAATTTATGAATTGAAAAAATGGACAAAAAAATTTTCCCACATTTTTTTAACCATTACGCAAGCACAGAGAAAACTACTATAGCGAGAAAAAAAACCACCACCAGTTATATATCAATAAATAATAAATAATTATAATTGATTTCAATCAAAGAAAAAAAGGAACATTATTTTTTTTCATTTCAATCATGATAATTGTCCACACATTGATTTAATCTATTATGATGATTATGATAGATAGATATCCGTCTCAACACATTTTTAATGATGGTAGATGATCATCAACCCACCAACCAACCAAATAAACAAAACTGAACCAATTTTTTTTTTTGTTATACAATCACCATCGTCATAATCATCATTTTGGAAACGGACGTCAATTTTTTTTTTTTTTTTTTTTTTTCTCTTTTTTTTTTGGTGTTTTTTNATGATTATGATAGATAGATATCCGTCTCAACACATTTTTAATGATGGTAGATGATCATCAACCCACCAACCAACCAAATAAACAAAACTGAACCAATTTTTTTTTTTGTTATACAATCCCCATCGTCATAATCATCATTTTGGAAACGGACGTCAATTTTTTTTTTTTTTTGTTCTCTCATTTATATTTGGCGTTATTTTATATATATAGATAGATACATTTTACTCCTACTACCCTGCTACTCTATATTTTTCTCTTATTTTCATCATCATTCAAAGTTCAAACAAATCATAGAAGAGAAAAACGATCGAGAGAGAGAAAGACAAAATCCTGATCAACGACTTTTTGATTATGGCAATGCGATGTGAATTGAAATTTCAATTAATATGGATTGAATTTTCATTGTATTTTAATCAATCAATGGGAAACGATTCACTTCCGTATTCGGAAAAGAGTGAGCAAGCAAGAGAGAAAGAGAAAAACCCTATTTTTAGCCAATAATCGACATTGATGATTTTAAAAAAAGTCAATAGAAATCTTGAATATCCAAAAATCTAATTATACAACCAGATATAATGATGATTTTAACGGAATTTTTTTGTTTGTTTGAAAATATGAATCCATTAGGTATGTTTAAATAACCAAATCAAATCCAATGATGATCAATAATTAATTGGAAAATTTATTTTTAAAACTTTTTAATTATTGATTTTTCATTTGAAAAATGGAAAAATGTCATTTTTGAATACAAATCATTAATATCATTTGTGTGTGTGTGAAAACTTTCTCATCAATGATTGATTGATCAAATATATTGATTTAATCACGTTATCTTCAAAAGGAAAAAATCCGACCAAACATATTTTCACACACATGGCTAAAGATGAATATTGTTTTTTTTTCATTATTTTTCACATGATTGAAATAGAAATTGAAATGATAATCATTATATAAAAAAGAATTACTTTCTCTTATAACATTCTTTGTATTTATTTATTTATTTAAAGCAAACGAAAAAAGTGTTAACCTGATTTTGGTAAAAAAAAAAACAGTATAAAAAGCCCTGTAAATCGATAAATTGATTTTTCTTTTCAATCTTGTTGTTTGTTGTGAATGAACGTCGGATTAATATGATTTTAACATCAGCATTTGTTCAATTTATTATTGTGTCAATAGTGATATCCATCTTAATGAATATATCATCCATCAATGCTGGCAAAGAAAAAGAAGGACGTCTTATTATTATTGGAACAGGTGGTGGTGGCGGAGGAGGAGGAGGAGGTGGAGGTGGGAGTTATGGTGGCGGCGGTGGTAGTAAGGGTGGATACGGGGGAGGAGGTGGTATGGGCGGTTACGGTGGGGGCGGTATGATGATGATGCCAATGTAATTACAATCCAAATTTTCAACAAAAAAAATATTTTAATTCAATTTCTATTCCAATCAGGATAATACCGATGCCAATCATGATGGGAGGTGGTGGTGGAGGTTATGGAATGATGGATATGGGCATGATGGGCGGATACGGTGGCGGTATGATGGGTGGAGGCATGATGGGAGGATACGGTGGCGGCATGATGGGTGGAGGCATGATGGGCGGATACGGTGGTGGCATGATGGGTGGGGGAATGATGGGCGGATACGGCAGTGGCATGATGAGCGGATTCAGTGGCGATATGATGAGTGAATACGGCGGCGGAGGTGGCGGTGGAATGATGGGTGGATACAATAATGGAGGAGGAGGTAACCGTGGGGGAGGCGGTAAAGGTCATGGAGGTGGAAGTGGAACGATGGGCGGGGGATATCGTCGTCGTCGTCGTCGAAGATAATCTTTCAATGACAGATCCCAAAAAAATCATTTCCTTGTATCATACCCTAAATGTAATACAATTTTAATCTCATTCAATCAACAACAAAAAAAGTATTGCAAATTGTTTACCATGATGATGATAATTGTAATTAATTAAGTATTGCTCTTTAATGTAAATCAATAATAAATATTTTTTTTAAATAAGTGATTTCTCAAGAAAATCCATAAAAAAAACAAAACAAAACAATTGACTCCACTTGACAACAATAAATAAGAAATTTCAAGTGTTTTGGACCACAAAAAAAAAGTTACATTTGATAATGATAATCAATGATATTTGTATAAAAATCAATTATTTTTTATTTGAAAATTTCATTCTGCTTGTATCGAATAAACTTTGACTTAAACAATCATGAAATTCTTTTTCACTTTAGCTTTATTCTGTACATTGGCTATCAGTAAGTTTTTTTTTCCACATTTTTTTGTCATGTTTTTGAATTCTGATTTAATGAATGAATTGTAAAAAAAATATAGGTCAAGTTTATTGTAATGGTGCCGCTATTGTATCGGCTGCACGATCACAAATTGGTGTACCATATTCATGGGGTGGTGGTGGTATTCACGGAAAATCACGTGGAATAGGTGAAGGTGCCAATACAGTTGGTTTTGATTGTTCTGGCTTGGCACAATATTCTGTTTATCAAGGTACACATAAAGTATTGGCACGTGTTGCTTCTGGACAATATTCCGATCCAAAATGTCATCATGTTGCATATGGTAGTCATCAACCAGGTGATTTAGTATTTTTCGGTAATCCTATTCATCATGTTGGTATTGTTTCGGCACATGGTCGTATGATTAATGCACCACATACCGGTACAAATGTACGAGAAGAAAATATCTGGAGTGATCATATTGCTAATGTTGCACGATGTTGGTAAATTGATTTCAAATCGTATTGATCGTATCTGAAACAACAGATGGCAGCACGATGTTCAAAAAAAAAAAAATCATAAAATGATTTTTCAATTTTTTTTTTCATTTTTTTCATTAATCCTCCAAATGAAAATCAAATAAATTTCAAAATAAGATTTTTGTAAAAAACTTGTAGTGAAACTTTAGTGATGTGATAAATATTATTATTATTATGATATTTTATAATACAAAAACAATGACAATCATCATAAAGAATGAAATAATCTTTTTTAACATAAAAGAAATGAAAAGCAAAAATTTCAAAGCAAGAAAAGAAAAAGAAATGTAATGTTTGTTTTTGAATGTATCTAGTGTTGTAGATATATAATATACAAGGATGATGATGATAATAATTTTTCGATTAGAATCAGACATAATCCATAATCCATTTCTGTATCCAAATGATTTTGATTTTCATTCTCTCTGTCTGTCTCTCTGTTTTGTTATTGCTGTTATTCTTTATTATAATCATAATCATAATCAAAAAAACAAACAAACAAAAAATAAATATTATTTCTTCACAAAATAGTTTTTCTTTCGCTTCGTTTCTGTCTGAAACGATTATGACAATGATTATGATGATGACGTTTGATGCTTGTGAAATTCACAATGCGAAATACATACACACAGAGGAACATTGGAAAAAAATTGATAAATTGTATTTACTGTTTGTCGTCACTCAGTTCGTCGTCAGTTACAATAATAATAATAATAATAAAATCAGAAACAAAACAAAGAAAAGAAAAACCTAAACAACAAACGATGAATAAATGAATCGAACATATTTATTTAAATGGAAGAAAAAAAAAGTAAGTAAGTAAGTAATCCATAAAATGCATCAAAAGCAAATCAAAACGATAAATGGAATTTTTATATATGTATAAAATAAAATAAAGGACAAAACAAAAACAAAATGTGTGTTTGTGTATGTGTGTAATGGGGAGCAATGATGATTGAGTAATATTATTGATGGTAAGTAAAGAAAGAAGAAGAATAATCAACGACAATAATGATAATGATGAAATGATGTATGGAAAAATAAATGTGTATGTGTGTGTCTCATTCTCATTATCTCATATCACTTTCGATAAGAATTTCTTTCGTTGGAATTGGTGAAGATTCTTAAATTCCGTTTATATATAATACATTCATGTTTGAATTTGAATTGAATGATTGTTGGTTATTCATTCATACTCCTCATTTCCATGATAATAATAAAAAGTTTTTGCCGTTTTTCTGGGGGATAATCAAAAATCAATGAATGTTGATCAAAACATTGTGGCATAAATCGAAACAATAATCATCATCAAAACAAATGAATTTATTTGCTTTACAAACAGCAATGATGATGATGATCCAGCACTATTTCCAATAAAACTTTTTACTAGAAAAAAAACGATAACAATGTACAAAAAAAAAAAGAATTAGGTGAGAATGAAACTTAAAAACAGGGAAAAAAAGAGAAAAATCAAACATACCAGCTTCAACAGCATTACCATGATGTAATGATTGTTCTAAATCATGATTATTTGATCCACTTGATGATGATGATGATGATGAACTTGATGTACCATATAATTGTACAACTTCACTACTAACACTAATTACATTGGATAAAACTTGTATACATTCAAAATGATAAGAATCGATTAAAATCGATGATGATGATTGGTATTTTGAATCAAAAGAATCATCATTGTTAGAATTTGATAGCTGAATTCTACGATTCCAATTCGGGCTATTTCGTTTGGTCGATAAATTATTACCATGTTGTCGTCGTTGATGTTGATGATATGAATAATGTTGTTGTTGTAGTTGTTGTTGACCATTATCATTCTGATCATCATTATCATTATTTTGATTTTTTCCATTCAATGGATATTTTAAATCTAAACGTATAAAACCATTTTGATTGAAATCATTTTGTTTATTATAATCTAAAAATTGAGCATCTAATTGTTGACCATTTACAAGCCAATATAATTCGGGCATTGGTTTATATTTGGATGATAAACAACGTAATGATATTTGTTCACCAAGTTCATATTTTTTCTTTAAATTTTCAATTTTTGGTGATAAACGATCTATTCATGAAAACGAAAAAAAAACATTTTTAAAAATCACTTTATAATTGTTTTTAAAACAGTGAAAAACGTTTACCTTGAAGATCATTATTGGTATGATGATCTAATATTGGTACATATAATGTATGATTATTATTATTTGATGAATCAATTTTCATTTCTAAACGTACATTAGCAGTACGATTAAAACGATGTATGATTGATGATGTACATTCAAATTGATTAATACGTTTAGCTTGTAACCATGACCCCGGGAATTGTACATTAACCGATGTTGATGATTGTCCATTTTCAAAATGACGATAATATGTACGCATTATAATTTGATTTGTTTTCATTACATCATTATTTTGATTATCATCGATATTATTTTGATTTGATGATACCAGGCTATTTCCATTCAAATTGATAACTAAACGAGCCGGTGGTGTTGACATAGGTGATGTACAGGTTAAATTTACCGGTTCATTAGGACTGAAATGTGATTTTTTACCAACAATTATTGGTTGACCATCACGTGGTATATCTGTTAAGCAAAAACAATCAAAATCATAGAAATTATTGATCAAATCAAATCATGGCACTTACAATAGACACGAATTTTTTTAATTTGAATAGCCGTTGTAAAATCATTTTCAGCCAATACTTCACAACGAAAATCTGCTTCAGTTTTAAAATCTGTTTGTAAAATGTATAGATTTCCATAATTCGAACGAGATTCCTATTTTTTCAAATTACCAACAAGAAAAAAAAATGAATTAATAAATGTGACAAGTGAACAGAAGAAAATCTATTTTTTTTAAAAAAATCGATTTCCAAATGTGAAATTATTGTAAATAAATCAAATTAACTTCAAATGTGTTTGTGTGTGTGGTGCTGCTATAGCAATTTCATCTTTTTTTTCTTTTTTTCGTTGCAAAAAAATGGCACTGAATCCTACAGAATAATTTCTTCTTGCGCTTTTAGATTCTTGATTTCAAACGAAATATAAAAAAATGGGAATTTTTCTTTTCGAAAATGAAAAATGTTTTTGCAGCAACAACAACAACAACCAACAACCGAATCCAAACATCAAACATCTATTTATCTGATATATCGATATCAGCCTGGGCAACACAGAAAGAATCGTAAAATAATAATAAACGAATCACACAGAAAAGAGAAGAATTTGGAAATTGATATATCGAGAATCGAATCTTCCAACAAAAAAAAAAAATAAAATTCAACAAACATTTTCATTTTCGTCGATCAAAGTAACCTAACTAACTAACTAACTAACTAACTTTTATCGTTTGATAAACAAAATATAAAAAAAAGTAACAGTCATTATTTATTTGACATAAATGATGATCAATGGTGATCATCTTAAAATGTAAAAAGCAAAAAAAAGAAGAAATCAATGAAACAAGATTGATTCGGTGAGATGATTGAGTGGAAATAGTGGAGAAAAAAACGTAAAAATCTTAATGCGATTTACTTGGCTAATTTACAAAATTGAATGTAAACAATGTTTATCCATTTTTAACCTCATCCAAATGACAATTTTTTTGCTTCGCCATTTTTTATGATTAATGATTTTGTATTTCTGTTTTTTTCTGAAATTTTCTAAATATTTTACAACAAAACTTTTCAAAGGAAAACTTTTTCTTTTTGAATTCAAATATTTACACACAACCAACACACAGACCAAAATCCAAATTCAAATGTCATCAGTAAAAAAAAAGGAAGAAGAATGTAACAAAAACGAAACGAAATGAAAAAAATCAGAAGCAAAATATACTTAACCCTGCATTACGGGTAGAGCGAAACTCGCGTCGTTACTTAGGTGGGGTCGTTTTTGACCCCAAATTGAAATCCTTTTAAATCGAACTTGAAAGTGAAAAAAGAATAAATTTTTGTTTTCAACTCTTCAAAAATATTGTCTATTTTAAAATTTCATCATTAAATGACATTTCAACATCATACCAATAATGATTCGAAGCGACAAAAAAATTTTGATTTTTCGACAGAAATTAGACTGTATAAATTTCACATGCATCGAGTCCATAGAGAATTGCTGTGCACTTACGTTATGCAAATTCGGACTTCAGCCTGAGAATCGATGTATATCTTCATAACCAGTGGTCAGAAAGCAGTGAAAATTGGACAGAATATTCTAGAAACGTAATTAGTCAGTCGTTTCGATTGTCATTAATTTTAGTTGAGTGGTTTTCGAATAGCGAAGAAAAAACTGACGCTGGGGTCAAAAACGACCCCACATCCGTCTTCTAGGGTTAATCGGCTCAATTCTTTTTCAGCAAAAAGATGTTTAATTATTAATTATCCAAACAGAAAAAAAACAGTAACAAACAAAACATTCATAAGATGATAATGAATGAATGAATGAATGTTATAATAATAATAATAATTCTTTATGAAATGAGAATGAAAAAGAAAGAAAAGAATTCTCCGAATCCATAATAATCTTTCCAGACATATTTTTTGGGCTAACTATATTTTTTGGTCCATAAGTAATCCTGCTTTATAGTGATAATAATTTTTTTCTGAGACATTTCTTTTTTCCATCCACTTTTACAAAGTTGTCGTTATCATTGTTGTCGACAACAATTTATTTGCTACTTTGTTTGGAAAAACTTACAGTGTGTGTGTGTGTGATTTTTCAAAGAATGAAAATTCAGACGAAATGAAACGACCATTTTTTTCAAATCAATTTTTTGAAACTTTTCTTTCTTTCTTTCTTTCAGTGCAAAGCAAAAAAATCCAATTATCAATTGAATTTCATCCGTGAAATCAATCAATCAATACAAAATTCAAGAAAAATCGTTTTTCGCCAAAAACAAAAAAGATTTAAAAACAAACAAAAAAATTTTTGTTTCAAGTTTTTCAAATTTCCGCAATATAAACAACATTTGTCTCTTTATTGAGGAAATTTAACCATTTTGTTGTTGTTGTTGTTGAAAGTATATCATCAACAACAACAACAACAACAACAAAGATTAAGATCAAATCATCATTATTCAGTCTCGCCTTGTTTTTTTTTGTTGTTGTTATCGGTGACTTAAAAAAACAACAACAGAACAACAACAAAGTTAAACAAAACAATGTTGTTTCTTTTCTTTTTTCTTACTTCAAGAATCTTCTTTGTTTCCAGAATTTCAAAATTTATGTTTTTTTTCTTCTTTTTCTTGTTTTTTGCTTTGTGATCCAACCAACCAACCTTTGTACAAATAACAACAACAAAAAAAAACATTGAATTTCCTTTATTTTTCGGATGAATTTGTCATCATCATTATCATTGTTGTTGTTGTTTGCTTTCCTTGGAAACAAAACAATGGACAATCCAAACTCAATGTTTAGATTTTGATGACAGAAGAATAAAAAAAATCTTTGGCTTATGGAATAAATTATTCTTCGTTCGTTGTTACTGGATGAATATATATTTTCCAGATATGAAAATCAAAATGCAATATACATTCCTCGAAATAAATAACTATCGATACTATCGATTAGCATGGGAATCATTAAAAGAGAAATTATCAAGAAAAACAAATCCAAAAAAAAAGGTAGAATGATGAACAAACAAACCTAGCAACAAACAAAAACCACCAAGTTCCCAAACGTACAATAAAAATTTTTATTCATATCATCATCATTGTATACAAACTAAACTAAAATAAATAACAACCTAAAACCTAAATAATGACAATAAAAACTTGTAAAAAAATTGATTCTTCTTGATATTTATGGGCAAAAAAAAAAAAAAAAAAAAATGTTGACCAAACGTTGACATTAAAACAAAAGCCAAAAAAGAAACAAAAGCAAAAAAACCAAGCTGATGATGTCCAGGATGTCAGAAAAAAAAATGTTTTTTTTTGCTTTGTTTTTTGGCTAAAAAACAAACAATTTAATGTTGTCCTTTTGGATGTTTGCATGTCTAGATTAATTTATATGATGGTAGGTATGTATGATGATGATAACTTATTACGGAAATTATGAGCCAAAAAAGCAAAAAAAAAAAAGATAAAAATCTCAGGTAATTCGGAAATCCTGAAAAACTATAGTGCCAAAAAAGAGAGCGAGAGAATACGCTGCACCTAAAATGTGGATTATTCTTTAAAATTCAACCAACCAAAGCAATTTATAAAAATATATAACCAAAAAGGGATTTTAGTTTACTATTTTTCATTTACTGGTTTTCACTGGATTCAAAGAGTTAATTAAAATTAATTAGGTTCTTTTTCTTCTTCTTCATTTTCGCTGATTGGAGCCAAAACACACACAATCAAACAGCAAAAATTTCCACAAAAAAAACGATTTTTTTAAACGAAACAAAAAAAATTTCATCAAATATGCAAAACATGAATTAAATGTCATGGAAAATTCTTTCAAAATTCTTTTTTTTGCCTTCGAAAAAAAATTGATGACAATTTTCATTGGTACATTTTTCCCTTGTGTGCACAAAAAAAAAAAAATTTTCCTATTGGTTTTTGATTGATCGATTTTTGAATATTTCATAAGATCATCATCATCATCGTTATTTGTAACACACACATAAACAATGTCCACATTGAATATTCATTTGACATTTTCGACAATATCATCATCATCATCAAATATGCATATCGATATCGAGTATCGATTGTTCTTCAGACCAATAACAACAACAACAACAACAAAATCGATAACAAATCGATATCAGCAACTTTTTTTTTGATATCGAATTGATAAACTTTTTTTTCAAATCGAATCGATCAGAGTAAAAAAATTTTTATGGAAAATCGATCAACAAAAATGAAAAAAACTTTAAAAACATTCCACCAATGAAATTAATCGAGGATTAATGAAAATGAATTTCGTTGAAAAAAAACCGTAATTAAGTTCAAAACAAAACAACGAAACTAAAGGGGTTAAACTTTTGATCCAGTCAGAATTGAGATTTTTTCCGTTTGCTACCGTCAACTTGATTCACGGTATTTTTATTTATTTCCAAGGAATTTTTTTTATTATTTCATTTGACATTTTACTTTTGAAAACAAAAAAAATTGCAACTTTAAAAAGTAAAAAAAAATAAACTTTTTGTTGTTGTTGTTGCAAATTGAAATTTGTTACAACAACAACAAATAAATCGACTAATTGACTTTTTTTGAATGTCGTGAATGAAACAAACAAACAAGCAAACAAAATCACGAAATGCATTTGCACAATAAAGTACACAGTAGCGAAAATTCTATGTGATTTTTTAAAAAATAAAATTCTTTGTATCTGGTATGCATGCATGCACAATGCAATTAAATTTCAAATCAAAAGAAAAAAAAAACGAGAATATTCTTCATTGTGTGTTTTTCCCCATCCCCTTACATGGTCTATTCATGATAATCAGTTTGATTAGAGAAAGAGAGAATAAACAATTTTCGTTAAAATCAAACAACAATAAGATCGGAATAACAAACTTAATATACTTACATCGATAACAATACCGGTTGTATCATAAAATGTACGTGGTGTTAATTCATCAGCCGTTATAAAACGATACATTTCTTGATTATCTTTAAACCATTTTATTGAATAAATTTGATTATAATCAAGATCAATCATTGAACAATTGAGCCACATTGGATCACGATAAAATATATAATCAGGTGCCATTATACGTAATGATCTTATTGCATTTACATCTGTTTTGTATGGAAAAAAAGAGAAAAGAGAAAAAAAATTTGTTTTGATTAGTCAAGTTTCACAGAGAAAAAAATCAATCAATCAATCGATAATGATGATGATTAATTAGAACAAAAACAGAACAAAACAGAATCTATCTATTTCTCTCGGTATCTTTTTCCAGTTACTTTTGGATTTGGAGAAATTCCAAAAAGTTTCCCAAAAACATAAGATTTTTGTCATTATTTATCTATTTTTTTCATAGCTAAAATTAATTATTAATAACCAAAAAAAGACATGAAAAAAACAAACTTTTTATCGTCATTTTTTTCCTTTACAAAATGAATTTATATTGGAAAAAAAATTTTCTTATCATCATTATTACTCAAAGGTTTTTTATTTTGATAATTGGCCAAATCAGATTTGTTCAGCTTCTTGTTTTTCATCATCATCATTTTCAAATTTCAAATAAAAATTCATAAATAACGTAAGATTTAATCCCTGATGATTGGAAAAATTGTTTGTCTTGTTTGTTGCTTTTTCCAATCAAACATCATTAATTTTTCATCTTTTTAAAAAATGACATTTTTAAATTTAAATTTTTTCATCATCATTCCGATCATCATCAGTATTATGAATGTTAATTCTTTACCAATACTAAATCAATCATTAATAGAATTTATACCAAAAAATCCAGAATTTCTAATCGATAAACAAACAATTTATGGACCATATCAACAAAATATTTCAATAATATTCACATATTTATCGAATGATGATGAACAACCACCACCACTAATATGTTATCATCCAAATCGAATAAAATTGATTGGAAATTTTTTCAATCAAAAATTTAAATTATCAACAACAACATCAACAATGTCAAATGTCAATCATCATTATCAAAATGTATCGATTACAAAGACAATATTGACAATAAATAATATTACCTTGGATGATTATGGTTATTATCAATGTAATAATCACCGATTTGAATTAACTGGTAGGCCAAAAATAAACATCGAAGACAATGACAATGACAATAATAATAAGATTATCTCATTGAATGTTTTATCACATACACCTATTCAATCACAAAGTATTATTGTTTGTCTAATAAATAAAATCCATCAACATTGTCAAACATATCTAATACGGCCAATACATTTACTAAATGATTGTAGTCAAAATTGTCAGATTATTTTACTGGTAAATAATTTTCATATTAAACATTACCATCGTTATTATCATCAAAATAAAACAACAATCAAATTATCAATGGAATTAACAAATCGATTTGGTCGTACCAGATTTCCAATACCATTATCATCATCATCAAAAACCGGTATAATCGATGATGAAGAACAACACGAACAACAACAAGATCAAATGTTAATCATAATCAATGATGATCAAATACAATTACGATTAATAATATTCATTATAATTATCCTAATAATTTTAATAATCACTATTATTGGATGTCGTCATCATCCATATTTACAACAACAACAACAATCTGATAATGATGATGACGTAATAACAACAACAACAACAACAACAAACAGGATAAATTCAATACAACAACAGCCATCTACATCAGCAATAATGAAAACAACATATCCTGATGATGATGATAAGAACAAAGAATCCAATCATAATAATAATAATAAAGATCAAGAATCAAGATTATCATCATCTTTATCATCATCATTATGAATTGCCAAATATATAAAAATTCTTTCTTTTCTTTCATTGTTCTTCACAACATTCTTTTGTCCAATATTGTTCCAATTGTCATAGTGCATCACATCATCATCATTGTTGTTGTTGTATTTCGGGTGATGATCATTTCAGATCGCCTGGGTATCCTTTATATATATATGTTTTCAGATGATATTTTTATATATGAAAAAAAATACTTATATGTCTGTTGTGTGTCTGTGTATAACTTAATGTTAATAATAAATAAAAATTTTTCAATTCATATTTTACACATTGGTATTTTAGGATGATTTCCAAGCAACAATAACGATAACAACAATGAAAAGAAATTTCGTTGTAAATTTATCATTATCGTTATGGGGTCATTGTTATCAGTTTCAATGAAAAAAAAGAAGAATATTCTTTGGGTACCTATTCAGTGATGATAGTAATAAACAACATAGAATCTGTAATACAATTCAATCCATGAATGAATGAAACATTCATTCATTCATTGATGGATGATGATGATAATGATTTTTAACGACTTTTATCATCATCATCAAATGAATGATTTCTATAGATGTTATTTTTTTCACTATTCCGATTGATAATGATACTAATGATAATGATGATGATGATGATTCGTGACCTCAAAAAACGAAAAAATCGTAAATTTTGATAGACATTGAACATCTTGTTTTGTTGTTAATTTCATCATTTGTATCGTTATTTTTTCTGTTTGTTACACATTCTGTTGATGATGATTAGGATTTTTGTGTTCCATAGACATCCTGTATATTTCATCATTAAAACATTATCATCATTATCCATTACTTAGATGTGTGAAATAATGATATTTAAAAAATTTTAAACTTGAAACTTTTTTTGAATAGAAATCATACAAAGACAAAGACAATGAATAAGTAAAAGTAAAAAATAACAAAATGATCTTCTTCTTCTAATGACGATGATAATGGCTATGATCATCAGGCAGCGAGCAGCAGTCAATGGATAAATGATGATGCTAATGATAATGATAATTTTGAATTCGGACAAAGACAAAAAACCGTATGTGGAAAAACCGTTTTTTTCAGAATGAAAAGGAAAAAAAGAGTTAATGAACAAACGTGATTCACGGAAACAACAAACGACGACGTGTTTTAACTCTTTTTTTCTTTGAAAAGCCGACCAACAAAACAAAACAACGAAAAACAAATTCTAATGAAAAACCAGAAACGAAGAAGAATTTAGAGAATTTTTTTTCAAACAGAATTTCGGAATGGTAATTATTACGGGGTTTTGTTGTTTTTGGTTGTTGTGCAAAGCAAAAAAACAAATGAAAAATACATTTGGAACGTTTTTGTTTACAAAAACAATGGTAATGAATATAGGAAAAAATGATGATGACTTTTGGCAAAACAAAAACAAAACGAAAGAGTTGTTAATTTCACAGGCAGATGGATAACATTATTTTTGTTTGTTTTTTGTTTTTCGCTTTTGTTTGTTGTTTCATAAAGAATTCAATCCAGAAAAAAAACAAGCAATTTTATCATGGGATTTAGCAACAGCAGCAGCAGCAGCAAAAGACAAAACAAATTAAGATTTTCCTTTTTTTGCTTAGTTTTGCTCAAATTTTCTTTCTTTCTTATAACGAAACAAAAATAAATTGGAAACAAAAAACAGTTCAGATGATGAAAGAATATTCATTTTATTTTCAAAGTATTTGATAGAATGTGATTATCGCATACACACACAGAATAATTTCAAGGCAATGGAAGCGATTCATCATCATTATGTCAACCAAAAAAAAATTGTCCATGTTTTGAATTCTTCCTCTTCGTTTCAAAATTGGTCCATGATGATAGCCACGATGCTGGGTGATCATTTCTCATTAACGATAATTTTGATTTCGTTTTTGTTTGAATTTGATTGATACAAGAATGGTACACATTGATGAATTGATGAATCCGGAACCCAAAACGAAAGAAAGAAAAAATCCTTACGAAAATTATCTTTTTATGGCGCCATCCTCTCTCTCTCTCTCTTGAACATGTCTTTTGTTTCACACTTATTTAACACTCACTTACACATATATAATAAGAAGGCCAATCAAAGAAAAACGAAAGAAAAAAAACTGTTATATAATCACATCAACGTGATCATCATCATCATCTCAATGATGATGATGATGATGATGATGATGGCAATCATTCTTTGTTATTATTATTATAGTCATTTCATCATTATTATAAGGAGAACAGAGAAAGACTAAATACAAAAATTTATAGTAGAAACATGAGAACATTGTTTCTGAACACATTTTTTCTCATTGAAAAAGCGAAGAGAAAAAAGAATCGTAAGACGGAAAGAAGTGAAGTGTTGAAAGCGAGAAAATTCCGATCAACAATGTAATCGATCAACAACAACAACAACAACGATGATGACAAAATCGAGCCAAATTAAGCGCCCATCATCATCATCAATATTATCGGTGAATATAAACGAAAAAATATAATAAGCATCCATATTTCTAAGCATCGCTTATTTAAGAAGAAGAAAAAATCATTTTTTTACAAAGCTTGTCACCTTATTTGCTTTTCTTCCAAAGCATCATCATTATCATTTCATATTTTTTTCAACCAGTTTTTTTATGGCAGCCAGAATTTATTGTCGTTTTTTTGGTTCATATTTGATTTATTCTGCTGGAATAAATATTGAAGCGAGAAATGTTTCCGAAATATATCATTTTTTTTGGAATTTTTTCGTTGAATAAAATCAAAGAATTCAGATACAGAATCTTATCGGGTTGAAACAAATTTCAATCACAAAAATCGGCAGTAAATTAAATTACAACCCTAATGATTATAAAGTGTTAAAATCAAAATCAAATGTAGAGAAGAAAAAAAAACTTGAAAGACATTGATGATGATGACATGTATTAATTAAAAACAATAATGAAAGACAACTTAATCAACAGAATCGAAACTGTATAGCTTGAAATGAATTTTCGTTATGACAAATTTCTGTGTGACAGGCCCACAATGATGATGAGATTGATCCAATATATAATATATGTAGAGAGAGAGAGAAAGACAATTTGAAAGTTAATGATTTTCATCATTATGCAATGAATAAAATATATATTCACAGGTAACAAAAAAAAACTATTAGTGTAGCAATTAATTTTCAATGCACAATGTAACAGAAAAATATGGAAGCCATGATGATGATAGAAACAAACCAAAAATGTATTCGATTCGATAATTTATTGATGAATAATTGATCAATAGTTGTTGGTTTGTTTGGTATTTTCAGTCAATAATGATCATTATGGTTTTTGCAAACATGGAAAAAAACCAAACAGTAGCAGCAGCAAAAAAACCTGTAGAAAAAAATCATCATATATATGAATTTAATGAGATTTGAATCGAAATCGAAATAACAAATCGAAAAAAACATTTTGTTTGGTTTTTTCTTTCCATTCAGAAATCGTAATAATGTTTTTTATTTTCTTGGTGATCGGTGAATGAACGAAGCAAAACTGAACAAAATCCAGCCAAAAAAAAAAGATAAATTATTAATTTAAATAGACTTTCGTTTGTTCGGTCCC